TAGGAGAACGAGCACGGGAGCGATCCGTCAGGCCCCGCGATCGCGTTCGAATTTAACGTGCGCCGCGATCGAACGCCGCGAGAGCCTCGACGCTTCGCGGCGATCGCGATCCAAGAACAAGCAGAGCGAATGGAACGCCGAAAGAATAATACCTGAATAATACCGAGAACGCGGAGAGGTCGAGGTGAACGCGATGATAAAGGGGGGAGGGCGGGGGGACGGAGGGGGAGCCGCGAAGATGAAAGCACCGCCGCTGAACGCGGAATGCGATATTTACTGTTTAACTTCGTTATCGGCCGCAGCCGCGGTGCGGTCGGTAATTCTAGCTTAATTAGCCAATAACACGCACGATAGAGTTTATTTTTTTGGCCGTAAAATATTGTTGTAGAAGGTGTACATTTTTAACGGGAGGAGAGCCGGAGGGAGGACGATCGTCGGTGCGAAGGAACGAACGGCGGGATGAAGGAAACGGAAACGGTGTCGCACCGATCTCGGTGCTCGGAGTCCTTTGTGTTCCTTGCGCCGTCGTGGCCGATCGACCGCCAATTTTCACTGCTGTCAGCATCGGGTCCGCCAATTTTCTCGAATCTCGACCGAACCGCAGCCGAAAGCTCCGCCGAACAACGCTCCTTTGGTCTGCTGCTCCTGCGATGCTCGACCGCGCTGATGTCTTAGTCCAGCCGCGCGATCAATTTGTTTCTCGGCTCTTTCGATGCCGTTCGAACAGCGAACGCGCTGAACGATTCGCGGCGCGAAGGAGCGAGGAGAGGGTGTAAAACGCTCGGACCAGCGGGACGGGAAACAACTTTTCGTTTCTCGATCGTCGGACCGGGATACGGACACGGATACGGACATACGGATGGGACAAAAGTTCACGGAGCCCCTCGTGATCAACCCCTTGACATACAACGACGAGTCGGGGTCGTCATTCGTTTCATGCGCCGCTGTACACTTCGGCGACTCTGACTCTCGTCAAGGTTGCAGGGTCGCTGGACACTGTGACACGTATACGTATATGAGCCGTTTATTTTGAAAGTGGCGTAAGTCGCTTTACCGTAATGAAAAGTGGTGATTTCTTAATGTTTATACGAAATTATTTATACCGAGAAAAATATCAGTGTCCTGAGATATAACAAATACAAGTAAATCTTCTCGAAAGTTAGCATCCATATTTTGAAACGTGTTAAAAAGCAAATCCTTAAATATATCGACTTAAAAACAAAGTGACTTATGCCACTTTCAAAATAAACGGCTCGTATTAGCTTGCAGAGGTTTGCATCCGCTGAAACTGACGCTTTAAACACGTTGAATGCCACGGGGGCCACCGGTGACCGGCGCGCCCAAATTGATAGGAATATATATATAATTTAAAACAAACGTCAACATCTAAAATTTTGTATTATTACCATCGTCGATTCGAACGATGATCCCTGTCGCGATTAACATGTCAAGCATGGTTATGCACTGTAACTTATCTGTTACAGATAATATTTCAATAATATATGTATCACATAAAAGAAGATTCATCGGACGATTTCTGTAAAACCGGCGTGGCATTCAACGTGTTAATATCGAGGTGCGCAGTTCGCAAGTGGGACATTTAGATTCCCAAAAGAAAGACTAAACTCCGGGTACTTCGATTGTAGAAATATCCGTTTTGCAGTTATCGTGGAGATACTTAACAATATTCGGTCAGCGTAGTTATATATTATTGGATTACACACGGTTGCTTCGCTCGCGCGTCGGTCCTGGTTTGTTTACAACGCCCAAGGTGCCCGCCACCCTCCCGCGTTCTCGACAGTACCGAAGAGTATAACGAAGTTGCATTGTCCACGGATCAAATTTCAAAACGAAGCCTCCTCTTTCTCGGCTTGCACCGCGCAGCTGTTCGGTTGGTCGAGTCGAATGGAATAATAATAGTATTTTTCCGGACGAGTGAGATTTTTCCGTTTGATTTGTGTGTCAAGGGGTTGAACGGATAAGGAACTTGTCGAGAACTTGTCTTTTGCACCGCGGCGCAGACGGGGCTGCTGCGAGAAGGGCGGTTGCGATCCGAGGCTATTGTATTGTGGCATTAATAAAATTAAGATCGTTTTTTTAGCGAACGATTTTTTGTATCGAGGTCGATATATACGCACGCGGCGCCACGTAGGAAATATTATACGGTGTCCGCTGTGCCCCGCATCGTCGTCGTCGTTGTCGTCGTCGTCGTCGTGCGATTTTATCGTTCGCGTAAAGCGTTAACGCGATTTCCTTTTCTGTTGAAGAAACTAACGACGAGCGAGCAAACCGCCGGAGTTTGTGGACGCGGGAAGAGAGTCTCGTTATCGTTATCGTTATCGTTGACCGTTATCGTTATCGTTGCTCGTTATCGTTGATATAATAATTCGTACCGCAAACGTCGCCGCGAACGCCGATTAACAGCCAATTTTATCGCGTCGCATCGCATCGTGTATCGGCAACCGTTCCGAAGATAACGCGATGCGGGACCGTGATTTCGAGCTAGAATTCCGATGAACAACCCATTTTTTATTACACCGTGGGACGCATCGGGCCGATACGGTCGCGCCGGAATTATTATGTTGATCGTAACTGTAAACGATTTTCTAAGCAATTTTTTACCGATATCCGTTAGTTTCAACGGCGACTGTGAGATTAGGGCGAGATAAGGAAGCCGAAGACGAGAGAGGAGGCGGCGAGAGATGCCGGAAAAGAAGGAAAAGAAACTTGTTCGCGTCGCGTCGATGCGCTGTGAAAGCATTATTCGGTGGAGGCGACAAGCGAGAGTGAAGAAAAGAGTCGAGAACCGAGAAAACCAACGGATGCGAACGAAATATCGAAGGGAATACGACCGCGAATTTGATCTTATGTCAGAATCCGTCTGTCTGTTTGTCTGTCTGTCTGTATGTATGTTTGTCCGCCTGACTGGCTGCCTATCTGTCTGTCTGTCTGTCTGCCTATCTACCTGTCTGTTTGTCTGTCTGTCTGTCTGCCTGACTGACTGACTGACTGTCTGTCTGCCTGACTGTCTGTCTGTCCGTTTACCTGCTTGTCTGCCCGTCTGACTATATGTCTGTCTGTCTGTCTGTCTGTCTGTCTGTCTGTCTGTCTGTCTGTCTGTCTGCCTGTCTGTCTGTCTGTCTGCCTATTTGTCTGTCTGTCTGTCTGTCTGTCTATCTGTGTGTCTGTCAGCGTGTGTGTATGCGTGCAACAATATTACGAATCATCGATCACGGGTAATTAGCGTGCGTTCAAATTATCCCGCGAGGCGTTCCCTTTTCGCGATCGAAAGGGAAAACAAAAGAAATGCTGGGGAAATGGCGAATAGAATGAGAAAACGAAAGGGCAAGAGGAAGAGAGAGAGAGAGAGAGTAAGAAAAAAAAATAAGAAGAGGGGGAGGCCGTGTAGAAACGGCGAACGGAGACAAACGACGAAAATACGGGCGGAAACACATACGAGGAAAGAGAGAGAGAGAGAGAGAGAGAGAGAGAGAGAGAGAACGAAGTGTGAAACGGTGGTAGGGAATCGTAATTTGTCAAGCTCGTTTCTCGATCACACTACTCTAATTACCCAGATGTAATTTGTACTGTGTAACTATTACTATTTTTATGAATTTTTGTACATTTTTCTAATTATTTTGTATGAAAACCTTTAGCGGAAAGAGTGGCACGGGTCTGGCACCCAACAACTTCTCCCCGATTTCAAAGGGAAAAGAAAAAAAAGGAAAAAAAAATAATAGAAAAAAAAAGCGATGCGTTCGTTGTCGCGTTGAACGGCGCGACGCGTGAAACACGCCCTGATTAACGATAAACGAGCGTTTCGAACGCGGTCGAACGCGATCCGATCGAGGCGTTGATGATGGGTGCCGAAGCAGAATGGACTTCAAATGCGATTTATATTTCAAACAGGAGAAAGTGGAAATGGAATTTGTTGCGCGTACACCGGTGAGATTCAGAGGAAAGCCAGCCACAGCTTTCGAGTAGCATAGTCCACGATTTTCGAACGATTTGTTCGCCCGCCTGTCTGCCCGAACCCTACCGTCCGGATTCTGTCTGCAATCGTTTAGCTTTCAGCTTTCGATTTTTATCTTCTTTTGCTTTCAACGTTCAACCGTCCTCCTTCGATTACACCCTTCTTCTACTCCTCGCCCCTCCCCACTCCTCCTCCTCCTCTTGTACTTGCTCTTGTACTTCCTCTACCTCGACCCCCCCCCCCGCGCCTTTCTCTTTTCCGTTTTGATTTTATCTTGGTTTTAGATTCGAACAGCGAAAATAGAATCTCGATGTGGACGGAGAAACGGAAAGACAGGCGGGCAGACAATAATGCGCAGAAGCAGTGGCTATGGAAACCAAAATAGTCTCGCGTATTAGAAACCGAATGCGTGAAACCTCCTTCGTAATTTGACAACGTGTTTGTTATTAATTATAAGAATCACATTTTCTTTTTTGTCTTGAATTTGAGATGCTATAAAATAGATCGATTCTTTCATGGAACTGAGTGAGTTACTATCTTCACTTCATCCGATCCTTTTACCGTAGAATTAGCGCGCCGTTCCTAACCAGCTAGCGCCTTCGACGGCGAGTCCTCTTTCGCGGGCCTGCAAACGTCTCGAAAAGATTACGTTGCATTCGAATTTATATTCTCGGCGATATATCGAGATATATAATATATAATATATATAATAATATATAATATTATATATAATATATTATATAATATATATATAATATATAATATAATACGAGATGCAACTTTTCCCCTCCGTGCTACGTTATATCCAACGAAAAGACGAATTCGACGAACTTGTGGACAAGATTGATCAACCTTCGATCGGCCTTACACTTCGCGAACAAAGACAACGCGTTATTAAACCGCGTTGCAGCTTGAAATATCAAAATTTCAAAATTTCATAATTTTCTCGATTAATCGAAACGCGTTGAATTAGAGAAAATCGAATTTTCCCCCACCGTAGTCACGGTACATACAATTTCAAGATGGCGCAACGCTTCCAAACTCCTAACCTAACCGGTGTAACCGTGTAATTGTTTGTGACTCTGCGAACGTCCACGGAAGTAAATAATACGTACAGCATATAATAAATTAAGGGTTCTGCTAAGGGGAAAACTCATCCGATTCCTGAAAACCAAAAGTAGAATCTGTTCTGATTCTCAATCGACATGCGTATCACGGAAATTCTTTATAAGGAATTGATTAGAGTTCATAATATCCCTTACCGATACCGTGGGTACGTATCAGTCGCTCGAGACATAACCTCTCTTATCGAGCATTCCTGTTTCTCTATTTATTTATCCTGTGCAAACCGCGCATACCGTTCCGATTTATATCTCGCGATTACAAATTATGCAATTAATAATATATGCGCGTATCGTATTATACATACAGGAAATATCGTATCGAAAAGAAACCAACCTACAAAGATATATTGGATTATAAGAAGGACCTTGAAAGAGAAGAACAAAATATGTTGTTGCTAAGACACCCGTACCTTACCTTCGAACAGTCCTGTGGTCATATGGCTGAGAAAAAGAAAGACATACGACTGAACAAACTAAACATGTGGCAAGAAACGGCAAATGCAAGGTTCAATAAACGAATTACTATACAGGATCGATTAAGACATTACATGATATGCGAACCTTGGGAATAATCAATATATATATTATAAAGAATAATATCTTGTTGTCTCTGTACAAATAAATGTTTAGTTCACAACAATGATTAGGATAATGTTTGTTATACGTTAGACTCGAGGTTGTAAGAAATGTTCAGTATCCGTTATCTACGAAGTAGATAAATTGAAGCAAAATTACATAACCAAAATAACGAGTCGAAGTATAAAATACTGGAAATACATCTTAAAATTTAACGTATTAAAACGTGGACGTTTCTTAATGAGTATCCACATTCACGGGTCCGTCGTAATTTCATTTTCAAAGCGTTCGACGAAATCTTTTTGTTTATTCCTTATCCAACCGAACGGATTGTGGTTAATAATGATTTCTGTTAACGATTTTCCTTCGTATAAGAAATTTGCAAAGTCCGATACAATAGGGTCTGCTCCCACGCTACTCATTGCAATAACTTTGCCATTATTAATATAGTATGCGAAAAATTCAAACTTATCCAAAGAACCATAAATTTTTATTTTGTCTGGTTGCCCGTATCCTGAAAGCGCAGATCGTATTAATAAAAATTTGTACAATTTTGTACACTCAAAATTCTTTTTTACGTCAAATGTACGACGATCTTACCAGCGTATCGATAACTTCTACCAAATAGTGATGTCCAGAAAAATGGAACTGCATTCAATGGTTTGTTAAGGCCGCATATATTTTGTGCCGCTATTTTTCCATGATAATGGGCCAGAGGATAGTGGCCCACTGCCGCCAATAGGTCATCGGATCCAAACAGCGGGGCATACGCGATGTCGCCGCCAGCGTACACGTTTTCCACATTTGTTTTCAGGTACTAAAGGTCAATTATCAGTAATCATTTCATGATTTATCGAACCCTAAGAACTTGTATTCTGTACAAATGTTCACAAATCCTACATGTTATACCTTGTCGACTTTTATGCTGCCATTTTCCAACATATCAACAGAAGAATCTTTTATCCAATCTGTGTAGAGCGTAGACCCAATGCCGATAATAACTATATCAGCTGAAAGTACTGTACCATCATTAAGCACAACTGTACCTACGCAATTTTGATCGGTCTCCTTTGCAACAAACTGTGCAATATTATTTCCAAATAGGAACTTAACACCTAGAATAAAACATTACTTTGGTTATTCCATATTTTGCTTTATGCAAGTCAAACAGAAAATAGGAAGACAAGACTATACCTTTTCCCTCGAATTCTTGTCTAACTCTGTTACCAATTGCTGCACCAAAAACGGATTGTAAAGGCACTGTACCTTTTCCTATAACAGTTACAGATTCGCATTTGCTCACGCAATAAGCAGCAGCTTCCATGCCAATAAATCCTAATCCAAGTATTACAACATGTTTCTCTGGTGATAATTTTGATAATATACTTTGAGAATCCGTATAATCTCGTAGTACATAAATATTAGATAGATTTATGCCAGGTGTATTGGGCATTCTAGGCTTGCTTCCAGTACAAATAAATAAATGATTATAATTTAATTTTTCATGGTTACTTAACTCAACTACATTCTCGTTTGTATTCAGACCTGTAGCAGACAATAAGCAGTTAGTCGAGTAAATTAAATAATTTTCTTATAGTTAAGTTACCTATTGCTTCCACGCCCAGCTTCATTTCGATACCATGATCCTTATAAAATGATGGTGGTCTCAAAACTGACTGCTCGACGTCGAAATCTAAACTTTTAGATACTTTGACTCTGTCGTATGGAACTGAGTGCTCTCGACAAATCACAATTATATGTCCTGTAAAATTTTCTTGCCTCAAAGTTTCCGCACAAGTTGCCCCAGCTGGTCCTCCTCCAACTATTACAACCGTAGCCTGATTACTGCTGTCTGGGGCATACATTTGTTTTGTACGTCTATTCAATCCCAATTCTGTACGGTGTGCCTTCACACGTACAAGACCAGTGTCATCTACATTCACCTATTTCATAGAGAAAAAAACCTATTTTAATAGGGAGTTATTACTTTGTCAATAGCACTATCCTAATAATTAATTTATCAGTGGTAAAGTACTTTGTAACATGGCAGGGAATCCAGGCCAGGATAATCTTCTATGTCACCTGTTTTGATATTGAAACAAGCACCGTGCCATGGACACCTTATCCTTCCATCTCCTAATGCTCCTGTATGGAGAAGAGCTCCATAGTGTGTACATTTTGTGCCTAGAGCGTGCAACTCTCCTTTTTGTTTAACCAGTAGAATCTTGTTACCCGCATCTCCGAGTGGTAGTAATTTCATTTCATTTTCTTTAATATCAGATTCTTTACACACCACATCTTCGATGTAATCATATTTCTCTGGTTTGCCTAAATAAATAAATATATATATATATATATATATATATATATATGTAAATATTATACCAGTTAGAATCTAAAAGATATTTATTTGTTTATTTTATTATTAATTAAAAATTATTCTTAACTAAACTATAGTTTTCCTATATATTTAAACTAAACGTAGTGACGATAATACGATTGGTATACGAATCAGGGGTCATAACTCACAACTACAACAACATTTTAAATTATTACGTGACAAAGCTTGCTCTTTCGGTTTATTACACTCACTACATATGTAAAATTTTTTGTCGGAATTTAAATCTGACATTCTAGGTTTTGGTATCTTTGATCCAACGCAAGAAATTGCGTTACACGCTATTCGCGTCAAATGTTTCATACTATACAAGTACATATTGATATTGTTTTACGATAAATCGTTACGATTAATCATCGTATCATTTCAAGTCCTTGTTTCATCGAAGCTTACGTTACGGATTAGCAAATTGAGCATTGAATTTCTTTTTAAGGAAAATCTATTACCGTAGACGGAATTGATGCGAAACTGCATAAAGAGGTTACATACATATAAATATATATATATATATGTACACACACGTGCCCACGTATGTATAATGTATAGTACCTAGATGGCCTTTTACATCAAGTTACCTGCACATGTGCTCTAGTACATATTAATTTTATACCTTAAAGAGTACACGTTCGGCTATGATATTGTGATTTGAACAATTATTTTATACCAAATGGAGGTTACAGGATATAGTAATCAATAGAAAATTATCTGACTGTTACGTCACTAATATATATCGTAAAAATCGATTGGTAGGAAAATCCATGAATTTCTGTGATAACAAATTGTATAGAATTTTCCTCGTATCGATGTAGTTTTTTCTTTAAATCTATTTAATATTTTATGCTTCTTCTGAGATGGTAAAAATTAATTTTTAACTGTAATATTTTACAGTCTAATCTGGCGCATTGCCAATCATGATCAATCCCTAATACAGCTATCGATAATTTCATGCATATTGTTTGCAACATAATTGTGGTAATAATTTCCGTGTTTAACATCAGAAAATATATATTTCGAACCTTCTCTCGAAGATTTTCTTGGCATGACCCTTGAACTTCCTGGAAGAAGTCCTTTACAGTTATTGGCACCCATTCTGTTCTATCACACTTATCACTGGAGAATATTGTTCTACAAACTGTATCGAGTTATCTACAAATAAGCTATCTCGATTTTCTTCAATTTACAAGTATGTATCTGTATAAGCCTTACTAAAGTGCATTTCAACTGTGGCGATTGACCTTGTATTACACTAAATAAACTTTCACTATTATACCGAAGTAACCAACTGTTCTCTAATCAAAGGAAACTTTTTGTCTCTGTACAATAAAAATTCTTATAAAATTAACTGAATAAGCTCTTAATAAAATAAACAGATTGTATGTAATAAATAATTTCAATTTGCGTTGCATATATCGATACGAAACACTTGTTGAACGAAATTGTTGTTCACGTTCAAAGCTTTAATTAAACAAAATATGTTAGCTTGCTAATTATACTTGCGTACTTTATTTGATTAAAAAACGCATACAATTGACGAATCTTAAGCGTACAAAAAGTGTAAAATATTGAATTTCGTTAAGTCTATATAAACAAACTGAATTCTGTTAAATCTATCAACAAATTACAAAAGATTGAAAGCTATTAAAAGCGAATTTTTACAGCAACTTATATTAAATGATGTAGAAATTGTATATTAACAAAGTAAATGCTGATGTTTCCTGCTTTTCTCATTTATTTGACACACCTCTTGTGTAGGAATCGCAACTTGTTGCAGAGCACGCAACCATATCGAGCACCAACTGTCAAGAGGGCGTTGAAATCGATTTTTCCATTCATACGTACATGTATGTATAAGTTCTATCTACTATGTACTTTTCTATCTTAATCTGTTCAATAGAAAATTGATTGTAATGTGAAATATGATTATATATATATATACAGAGTGACCCATTGAAATCGACCCAATAAAGTATCTTGCAAACCATTGATGATACTGAAAAATGTTTCTATATAAAAGTTGAATCATTTCAGGGGATACACAATTTGATGTTGGTAAGATTTTTCTAGATCGATGCGTAAAAAGGATATATATTTTCTACATAAAAGTACTAAGCTATTTATTGCGAAAAATCATTGGTTTAGAAGATATTTTAAGTGTAGTATCGAGAACGTCGACCTTTATTTATAAATATCCATTAGAACACGATATCTCAAATGCGACGCGTATTAGCTACTTCTTAAAAATCCTGATAATGACGTCACTAAGCGATGAGCGCGAAAGTGGAAAAAGAGAAAAAATTAAATTACTCATAAAATAATGGCTCAAAAGTAACGTTCTTAGTATAAAAATGATACCAATGATTCCGTGCATCGAATGTGTATCTCTGTATTCCATAATTATTGGAACAAATAGACCGTAGCGCACTTGAACTTCCATTAACTGTTGTGTTAATTATTTGTGTTTTGCAGTTTTGTCATCTAATTTAAATACCTGTTATCGATGCAGTAGATTCCCCCGAACAGTTCTGTGTTCTTGATTTATTATTTTATGATCTAATTATGCCATTATTAATGTTTTTTTCGACAACTCTGGATTGTGCATACAGGTGTGATTTAGTTCGACGTTTTCGCCGGTATGTGGTGCTAGTGTTTCGATGTCCGTTTGAGAAAAAAATGGTACATACATATATATTTACAGTCAATTCTGATAGCTCGTCTATGAAAGACGGCCATCTGTGTTTACTTTCTTTACAATAATAAGAAATGATGTTTAAATGTTTTTAATGTGTATTTATCTGCTTACAGCTTGAATTGCCATACATTTTGTCGTTTTACATGTCGTTTATCATTCGTGTATTTTGTATTCGGAGATATCGATGTACTAATAAATATGGAACATTTTATTTGAATCCGATTTCATAGTACTAGTACACGCATTCATCAATAATTTCATATCCAAATATTGACAATAATTATAAGCGATGATTGTAATGCAAGCGTATCGTTTGATGAAATCGCTAGAAATGTCAGCAGCATATTATGCAGTTGCCAGAGGCCACCAACATTACATTTATAATATTTGGTAATTTATTTTTAATTTTCTTATGTCTCATTATGTTATCTGTATATACAAATTGTATATTACTTTCCTTTAATAAGGGGTGAACGTAAAGCTCAAATTCACCAATATTCTGGTGTTGTATATAAAAAGCTTCTATCCCGAGAAGCAGCTCAAAATTTTATTCGGCAAAAGACAAGTTGTCCAAGCAAAAGAGTGAAATCCTCCAAGAAAAAGATAAAAAATACACAAGATCTTGATAATATAGCATTGTCATTAAGGAAAAGGTATAATAGATGTTGAATATCAATAGAACAAAAATGTAATTTTAATTTTCAACTTTTATAGTCCATTACCTGCAATAGATAGACTTGTCAAAAAGAAATCAACTGAGAAGAAATGCGAACAAATAGATACAAGCGAAATTTCATCGCCTATATCCAATGAACAAGTAAATACCCACTGTGCACAAAATAATTGTCCTACTTCTGCACTTATATTTATCCTAAAATTTATTTCAGCCATCATCTTCAGAATTTATTACCGATGATAATGGCTATGTAATAGTATATACTGATGGGGCATGTCGTTCAAATGGTCGCAGGAATGCGCAAGCAGGCTTAGGCGTCTGGTTCGGTGAAGACCATTCCCTGTATGTTCTATTAGATTTTTTAAAAGCAATTTAATTTTCAGACACTTTATTTTATTGCAATTACAGAAATGTATCAGAACGAGTTGTTGGTAGAATAACTAATATTAATGCAGAGATTCAGGCTGTGACCATGGCTGCGAGAAAAGCAAAAGAAGTAGGTGTAGAGAAACTAAAGATTATTACGGACTCGAAATTCTTGATCCAATGCATAACTGAATGGATGCCAAAATGGAAGAAAAATGGATGGAAAACTGTGAGTGATAATCCAGTTACAAATAAAGACGAATTAATAGAAATGGAGAAGGCACTGAGCTCATTAAAAATAGCTTGGGTATGAGCAATATCATAGTTAATTTATGCATACATTATATATTATATATTTATGAATACATTCATATTTATGAAACAATATTACAGGAACATGTTAATAGGCATAGTAGAATTCATGGAAACGTAATGGCTGATAAATTAGCAAAAGCAGGTTGTACAAAATAATAAAAATATTTATAATTGTAATTTATTACGCATTGTTCAAATTTTCATTACAAACTCCGATAACAAAATTAAAAGTTTCCCTTTTTTTCATTCCAACCAATTGCAATTTGAAAAAGAAATGCTGCAGACATTGCCCAGTAAACTAGTCTGTTTAAAATATCTAAAAAAAAATTACATATCTTACTTTTAAGAAAAGTTATACAGTCACTAGTAATAATACGTCATTGCCGCTATGAATGGACTTCGACCATGACGAATATATGTCTAACGCCATGCCTAACTTCCTCGTTAGAACAAATGAGCACCACCGATAACATCCGCGTTACTTTTTTTCTTGATTTTCTTCGGATGAAATTTTCAATCAGTTTGTTTCCAAGATTTACTAGGTATAGCTTTTTTAAATTAGAGTTATTAGTTCCCCGGCAGAGCTATTAGAATGAAATATTAAATGAAATGACGCGGAACTACTTTGCACGCGACGGAACCTATTGCATTAGTAATGCTGGTCTATAATTACATATATTCCATCCGCAATGTCATCATAGATTTTTTAAGAGTTAGCTGAATATAATGGATATAGTGTTTGGACATTTACATGCAATGCTTTTTTCTGTCTCATGGTCTAAATTATTCATGGCTTCCTACTCCTTTTACACTGTTATCCTTCCAGTGTAGTATCTCTTTTACAAGTTCGCTAATTTGTTTTCTCTTACAATTTTTCAACACAACATAACATAACATATTCTTTGTTTGTCTCTGCTCATCGATGTCGACACCACTGATGTTGGGACCAGCGTTCACAGAAAAATAGGTTACGCAAGGAGTGGGCACAGGCGACGCATGCACGGAGCGCGGCATGGCGCGTCTACTGGGTGAACATTATAATTCTGAACTACGATCGCGATTCGACGTACATTGCATTCTGATCGTGGTTCGGAATGACATTGCGGATAGTATATATGTAATTATAGACCAGCATTACTAATGCAATGGTTTCCGTCGCGTGCAAAATAATTCTGCGTCGTTTTATTTAATATTTCATTTTGATAGCTAGTCGGAGAACTACAGCGAAGAGAACGATGTCTATTTGTTGTATTCGTAGCCGATGCGAAGGGAAGAATAGATCGAACAGTGTGGAACTAATAATTTTAATTAGCATACCCGGCAAATCTTGAAAACAAACTGATTGAAAATTTCATCCGAAGAAAATCAAGAAGAAAGTAACGCGGATGTTATCGGTGGCGTTCATTTGCTCTAACGAGGAAGTTAGACATGGCGCACCCACTTGGATGGACTTACCGAGCAATACTATGGTGTCACATAATTTTCAAGATAATTGGTCTGGCGCCTATATCCTTACACGATAGGAGCTTGAAAAACACGCGCACGATATCCTTCGGACGAAGCAAATCCGGGATATTCTACAATGCGTTTCTCAGCATCTTGCTCATAGCATCGAGCTTCATCACTCTGCCGAGGCTGTACAATACGCCATACGCAAATAAATCCATTATAATGGCAATCATTGAGATGGGGCAAGCAACGTTAGGGAACGTGATAATTATTACAATCTTATTGTGCTACGTCTTCAGATGGTACATCCTAAAGAAGATTTCCAATTATCTGGTGCAAATCGGAGGACGGATGCAGATCTTCTCACGGGAACCGATCAACATGTATCGCGCCATTTGGAACCTATCAGCGATCTACATCGTTCAGACGATCATGTGCGTAGGTCTCGTGGTCACCGAGGAGCTGGCCTTCTTCAACGGTCCTCTCGGATGGGCCATGGACATCTTGCCCTCGGCCTTCGCGATCAATACCTTGTTTCAATACTTCTTGGTGATCAGCCTAATGAACATAAACTTTACTAGAGTTAACGAGGCTCTCCAGGGCATCTGCAGAAGCTCCAGCACCGATTTGAAGTCTTTGAATCGATGTCGCCGGGTCTTCGTCAACTGTTCCGTGATCCAGTCTCTTCGGTACCTGAGAAACATTTATGACGACCTGTGCGAGGTTGCCGACGAGGTCTCTCGGTTTTATTCGTTCCCGACCCTGCTCGTCGTCATCTTTATCTTTTATTCGCTGCTGTTCAACGCGTACTACATTCTGCAGCCTCTATCCGGCGACGACATGGACTTTGAACTCTTCTCCGTCATCAACGGCGCCCTCTTTATCGTCTACTTCATATATCCCCTAAGTTTACTGACCGCCAAGGTCACCGAGATATTGAACGAGGTAAAAATAAGCTTCCGATGGTAAAAATAAGCTCGTTTAGCTTCGAGTGAAATAGTTTTAAAACCCTGTCAACCACAAAACGGTGCCTTCGGTTCTCTGACAAACTCGCCTAGAGTTTTCCAATTTCTGCTGCTGCAATGTAAAATTTGATTATGAACATTTGGATTTTGTAGGCCAATGACTGATTCGATTGTCCGGATTTAGGACGTGATTTGAGATTTCCTTTGCAGATCGAACGGACCGGGGTCATCGTGCACTCGTTGTTGCAAAACACGATCGATCGAAAGACAAAGGCAGAGGTAAAATAGTATAAACACCGTCGATCGCCTTACCGGACCGTTTACCAAACAGTCATGTTTCTTCCAGCTCAAGCAATTCTCGCTACAGTTGCTCCATCGACAAATTAAGTTCACCGCTAGCGATTACTGTAACCTGGACAACACGTTGTTCCAATCGGTGAGGAAACCTGATCGATCGATCATTGTGCTTCATTGTAGATCGCGGATTGTCCCNCGCACCCACTTGGATGGACTTACCGAGCAATACTATGGTGTCACATAATTTTCAAGATAATTGGTCTGGCGCCTATATCCTTACACGATAGGAGCTTGAAAAACACGCGCACGATATCCTTCGGACGAAGCAAATCCGGGATATTCTACAATGCGTTTCTCAGCATCTTGCTCATAGCATCGAGCTTCATCACTCTGCCGAGGCTGTACAATACGCCATACGCAAATAAATCCATTATAATGGCAATCATTGAGATGGGGCAAGCAACGTTAGGGAACGTGATAATTATTACAATCTTATTGTGCTACGTCTTCAGATGGTACATCCTAAAGAAGATTTCCAATTATCTGGTGCAAATCGGAGGACGGATGCAGATCTTCTCACGGGAACCGATCAACATGTATCGCGCCATTTGGAACCTATCAGCGATCTACATCGTTCAGACGATCATGTGCGTAGGTCTCGTGGTCACCGAGGAGCTGGCCTTCTTCAACGGTCCTCTCGGATGGGCCATGGACATCTTGCCCTCGGCCTTCGCGATCAATACCTTGTTTCAATACTTCTTGGTGATCAGCCTAATGAACATAAACTTTACTAGAGTTAACGAGGCTCTCCAGGGCATCTGCAGAAGCTCCAGCACCGATTTGAAGTCTTTGAATCGATGTCGCCGGGTCTTCGTCAACTGTTCCGTGATCCAGTCTCTTCGGTACCTGAGAAACATTTATGACGACCTGTGCGAGGTTGCCGACGAGGTCTCTCGGTTTTATTCGTTCCCGACCCTGCTCGTCGTCATCTTTATCTTTTATTCGCTGCTGTTCAACGCGTACTACATTCTGCAGCCTCTATCCGGCGACGACATGGACTTTGAACTCTTCTCCGTCATCAACGGCGCCCTCTTTATCGTCTACTTCATATATCCCCTAAGTTTACTGACCGCCAAGGTCACCGAGATATTGAACGAGGTAAAAATAAGCTTCCGATGGTAAAAATAAGCTCGTTTAGCTTCGAGTGAAATAGTTTTAAAACCCTGTCAACCACAAAACGGTGCCTTCGGTTCTCTGACAAACTCGCCTAGAGTTTTCCAATTTCTGCTGCTGCAATGTAAAATTTGATTATGAACATTTGGATTTTGTAGGCCAATGACTGATTCGATTGTCCGGATTTAGGACGTGATTTGAGATTTCCTTTGCAGATCGAACGGACCGGGGTCATCGTGCACTCGTTGTTGCAAAACACGATCGATCGAAAGACAAAGGCAGAGGTAAAATAGTATAAACACCGTCGATCGCCTTACCGGACCGTTTACCAAACAGTCATGTTTCTTCCAGCTCAAGCAATTCTCGCTACAGTTGCTCCATCGACAAATTAAGTTCACCGCTAGCGATTACTGTAACCTGGACAACACGTTGTTCCAATCGGTGAGGAAACCTGATCGATCGATCATTGTGCTTCATTGTAGATCGCGGATTGTCCCTCAATATTTTCCGTTTTCAGGTGGTTAGTTCGGTGATAACGTATCTGGTGATCCTTATCCAGTTTCAAATGCAAAACAAATCCTCGTACGATTGCCAATGCGATTGCAGCGTGACGTGATCGTTTGAAACGCGAATTGCATTTCTCTTGCAAAAATATGAAGAAAGTATCTATTTTAAATGTAAGAGAAGAACAGAATATTTCGAATAAAAAATTAACCATTGTCCTAAGTAAAATATTCACGACTGGTTCCTTTCCGGAGAAATGAATGAATAGTCAAATTTTGTTAATTAAAAAGTCCGATCTGGATTTATTAATTTATAAGTAGTCCAATATAACGATAATGAAATTAGTTATATTAAATATTATTTCCTTACACGTGTAACTAAATAGCAATACAGATGAAAATAGTATGCGATGATCTTCTTCAGCTTATTACCTGCTCCATCGCAACTGGTGTTACCCCTTTTCTTTCATTTGTTGCTTCTTTTAGCCCTAGCGCTAAATAATAATTAGTTTTATCATTTCTTCATAGCATTGGTCGATTGCTCTCAATTTGTTCTTCATCTCCTCTGGTTGGACAGTTCCAAGTAATCGGACTCTAACTGCAACAACCTCTCGGTTAGGGCTTTGGTGAACGTACTATTGGTCAAAGGGGTGCGATATCGTCCACCATCATGGCGTCCATTATCTTCGTCAACGCGGTCACGTGTTCTAGTTCGGCCGCAACAGGACAAATCTCCTCGGCGACGTCCTTGCGGTCGCAATTGCAGTATGCCGTCGACAGATGGCAGAGGGCCTAGAAAAGAATGATTTTTTTCGGTGAAAACAGACGAAACTTTTTAATTATTCTTGTGGACACGTGGGAGGAAACGGAACAATGTATTTTGATCTCACGTTAATCGAACGAAAGAATAAACCGTTCATTGATAAAGCGAGTTTCACGAATTCGTAACGGGCAAAATGTATTTTATCTTCGCCGAACAAACCTAATCTTTCTTGATCCAATCTAATCGTTATCTTTTCTTGCGACTAAGAACGTTACGTTCCGATTGAATACGGTCTTATTCGACTCCGGTTTCTGTCACTCTGTCGCACCACCTATCGAGAACGGGAGTGACTTCCACATGCTACCATAGACCTGAAATCGTTACAGATGTCTCGCGAAACGTAATTTTATGATTACCGTTCTGAAGATAGTTCATACATAGCAATTCCTTATTTATTTTCTTCCCCGAAAAATGAGGCTTCAGAAGCTCCATTAGCAAATTCAAATTCGAAACAAGAAAATCACCGATCACAGGATAAATCATGTTTAGTGACAGTGACTAATCGCATCACGCCATTTCTACATCGAAAGAACGTGATCGTGATTCAAAAGTGGCAGTTCTACATAGCCATCGCTACTAGCAGGCACCCTGTCTATATGATCTTCATTGAGATCACATCTTGTTGGCGGAGAGTCGATTTCGTACGAGATCTTTTCGAAACCTCGAAAACGAACATCTCTGCCAGGACAACATGATTATGCAGGAGGTGATGAAATGTGTTTTGCTCTAGGGACATTTCGCATCATAAAGATGCCGGCGAAGGAGAAGAATGGTGAGCGTTTCGTCCTGGTCCCGCTAGAGGGACCAATGCTACAGTATTACACTGTGAGGGCAGCATTGCTTTCCTGTTTACCATTGTTAATATTAAAGCGCCATTTAATGCGAACACGTAATGGCTGTCGCAGCATAGTTGGGTGCAGTTTGTTGCATCGCTGTGTTGACTAAAATGTCGCTTGCAAGGTTAGTAGATATGAAAAATACTTGCAGCTTATTCTCCAAACTGTTTGTTGTTAAATACCTATATTATTCATCGTAGCGTATCAATTAACGTCATTTCACAGCTGATTTGTTTCGATGCATTTCACTCCTGTCGAACGTGTACTCGTTGAACGATGAAAAATAATCTGCGTAATTTTCAATTTATTTCCTCATCAGAATACCATAATGGAAAGCAAGAAAACAGGATTAAAAGTGGTTTCCGTAAATAATCATTCGCATTGTTGTTGCAGCTTATTACCTGCTCCATCGCAAGTGGTATGGGACAGAGAGGATGAAGCGCGCGAGCAGAAATTACGACAGAGGCCGGTGTCCGCATTGGTTAAAGCAGTTGTTACTGCTCCTCCGTATGGACAACGTAAGGGATGGGTTCCAAGAAATCCGGAAGTATGTATCGATCGAATCTTTTCATCAAAATATTGTTAAAATGTACTCATTGTTTGAACATATGCAATTTTCTTTTATATACGATGCGTTAAAGATTTATACAATGTCGACAGGATTTTGGAGATGGAGGAGCATTCCCAGAGATCCATGTGGCCCAATATCCCTTAGGTATGGGGATGAAGGGAAAGGAGACAACTAGTAATGCCCTAGCAGTTCAGCTGGATGCGTATGGGAAAGTGAAGTACGACGTTATCGCCAGGCAAGGACATTCCAAGGACAAGGTAACGAATACGGAACTTTCGATGCATTTATCGTTTGCAAGAGTTCATTTTTATAATTATAGCGGTATTTTACAGATTGTCTATAGCAAATTGAGCGACCTGCTCCCTTCGGAAATAACAAGCGAAGAGGATCCTAGTCTACAGCGTCCTCCGACAGATGAAATAGACGAGCTTACGGAGAAAACGAAGAAAGCTCTGGAGAAGATAACCAGATCAAAGATAGCAGCCGCTATGCCAGTGAGATGCGCGGAGAAACAGGCTCCGGCTCAGTATATCCGATACACACCGTCGCAACAAGGACAATCATTTAACTCTGGAGCAAAACAGAGAGTTATTAGAATGGTGGAAGCTCAGATAGATCCTTTGGAACCGCCGAAGTTCAAGTAAGTTGAATTGTTTACAGCCACAATCTGATTGACAAAACAATCGCACCGTATTCCAAACAAATTAATTGCCCCGCGTAATTCAGTATCTTCCTACTGTTAAAGGATCAATAAGAAAATACCAAGAGGTCCACCGTCACCGCCAGCGCCAGTTATGCATTCACCGACGAGAAAAGTTACAGTGAAGGAACAAAAAGAATGGAAAATACCTCCCTGCATTAGCAATTGGAAGAACGCTAAGGTAACTCGGTTGATCTCCTCGCTAGCATCGACGACAAGATTTTCATCTGAACCTTACTTCGCCAGGGATACACGATTCCTCTGGACAAACGTTTAGCCGCGGACGGTCGCGGCTTGCAGCAGGTCCACATTAACGAAAACTTCGCCAAACTCGCAGAAGCTCTTTACATCGCTGACAGAAAGGCTCGCGAGGCGGTAGAGATGCGAGCACAATTGGAGAAGAAATTGGCGCAAAAGGAGAAAGAAAAGAAAGAGGATCATTTGAGGCAGCTCGCGCAGAAGGCAAGAGAAGAGCGTGCTGGTCTGAAATCCTCTGCTGCGATAGGTTCGTTTAAGATACAGTTATATTTTACTATGTCTCTAAAGTCGTGCGACATCGTGACACAGAAATATACTAACGAAAAAGTCTAACAGCATTGTATGAAATTGTCGCGCAGATAAATCGGAGGAGTCCAGGGAAAGGGATCAGCTGAGACAAGAACGACACAAGGATCGCGCTCGCGAGAGGAATCTGGCGCGTGCTGCACCCGACAAGCGTTCCAGATTGCAACGTGAACGCGAACGCGACATCAGCGAACAGATTGCTCTCGGCTTGCCGGCGAAGAGCATTCCTAACAGCGGCGAGGCACAGTTCGACCAGAGACTGTTCAACACGAGCAAAGGAATGGACAGTGGTTACGGGCACGACGACGAATACAACGTGTACGACAAACCGTGGAAAGATTCCAATTCCATTGGCTCGCACATCTATCGACCTAGTAAAAATATTGACAAGGACACTTATGGCGATGATTTGGAGAAACTCGTTAAAACAAACAGGTACGCGACAAAAAGATCCGTTGAATGGACAAGACTGAATTGCAAGAAATTGTTTCTTTTTCTTTAGATTCGTGCCGGACAAAGAATTCAGCGGGACCGATAGATCGGCAACCCGATCCGGACCGGTGCAGTTCGAGAAGGACGAAGAGGATCCATTCGGTCTGGATCAGTTCTTGAAGCAGGCGAAGCGCGCCAGCAGTTCCACCACCACGACCACCAAGCGCAAAGACGAACGAGATCAACGAAGAGACGACCGCGACAAACGGAGGAAACATTAACTAAACGTGCAGAAATCGTTTGAACTATAGCCCGGGCTCGGATGAACGTTGAGACCTAATTTGCCTTAGGATCCCGCGGGTATCGTACCCTTTTCTACTTCCCCGCGTTGCACGATTAAGTAAGTCTGTTCAATCTGTATCGAATACTCACAGATGTACGTAAAACTGTTGCTAAATAAATCACGATTTAGCGAAGAAGTAGGTGTTGGTAAAAGTAAGTCGAGCAGGGCTTGTCGTCTCGAATTCACTTTCCTCTCGATCAAAGACATTAGATTTCCACTCGTTCATCCCAACCGTTGTATCCAAGATGGTCGACTATCGTCGGGTTTCAGACTCATAATTCTTTATTAACACAATGTGCATACAGCGTTCGTTAGATTAACAAAGGAAGCGATACTTTCGTACGGGGAGCAACTGTTATCTCTTAGTAGTAACGCAGTAGTTTATTTCGCTTTCTCATCAAATCATATATATATATATATAGAGGTCCGCTAAGATTTAATTAACGACACCACCACGTTTTCGTGTCGACGCGCGTTTTTTCTTTTTCTTTCATCGCGCGTTTTGTATTTGTCAAAAATGATCGCGTCAAATCGAATCGATGCCTGATCAGTAGTAGTAAGTAATCACCGTGGATTCGCGATAATACGGAGCACGACCGTTATCACGTTTCACAGCGTTGTATTGCTTCGATGTTGTTACATGTAGATTGCTTCTTCTTCTCTTGTTTCTCCGTGAGACTTTTAACGAGCCGTTCGCTGATGAGAAACACATTCGCGTTCGTGAAAAAAAAATCAAACAAACGTTCAGCCCGACGAAAAGAACTTCTCGCCCATCGTCAGCGTGTGCCTATAGGGATTCTATAGAAAATACTTCTCGAGTACACATAGAGGAGTAGATGATCCGTTGTTGAATAACGTTAGTAGTTTACGAATTCTGCGTTCGAACGGAGGTCGAACCTACGAGACATATTTGAATCGGTTTTAAATGCTATACGGTAGAACTTGCTGAACCGCGATTGATCCGGTCCAATCGCGAGCCCGGAGAAAATGTGGTCTGACGGACAAACGAAAAAACAAAAACGAAAACGGCAAACTCTTCACATGCCCACGAGAAACAATATCACCTTTCCGTTTTCTTTTTTCTTCTTTAACTCTGTAAAACACGGCAACTTAGAGGCGGTCTTTCTAATCAGTCTTTTTCTTCTTCGTTCGTATGATGATTATCACAGAATTTTCGTCAAGGTGGATGGAAGATCTTCCCACTTTAGTGACCACGTGACATCGTCGGAAATGCGGTGAAGGATTGGCTTTATTGTCGTTAACCCTTTGCGGACGAGTGTCGGCAAATAGCCGCCCAAGTCTTTTTACCGTTCTTTTTTTCTTTTTTTTTTTATTAATTTATTAACACTATGCCGTCCGGTGGCACCACGCTGGTGCCATGCAAAAACTATCTGTTGTATGCCGGTGGTAGCACTTTGGTGCCATTTTAAAAAACTGAAATAACATTTGAATTATATTTCTTGGGTGTTAAAAGGCGGCAAACTAACTGTAGCATTGTGTTTGTTTAACTAAGAACTAAGCACGAAAATTCTTGGACGACTTATCTTAATTTTAGGAATTTATATCACCGCCATCTTCGAAATTTTGTTTAAGATCTAAAATCTCCAAGCTATTATGCCTGCGTCGAACGAAAGAATCGTATCTAAGATCTGCGGACGGCATAGTGGTAATTATTAATATAAATTTATAATATATATATATATATATTATAAATAATATTATAAATTATTATATTATATTATATTATAAATTATTTATATAATATAATAAAAAAATATATATATTTATTTTTTTATTATATTATATATATACATTTATATTATATATATTTATTAATATAAATTTAACCGTAGGTTCAGAACGAAATATCAGTTTGACGAGTCGGTCTTTCTGTGTCGCTACCAGAGAAACCAGCAAAGTTTTCCACATATTTATAATCTTATAATAATATAATTATATCTTATAACATTTTCATTTTATATCCAACACCTGTCGTTCACAGCGACGCGATACCCGTCGAGCGCGGCTTCGTCCGCAAAGGGTTAAAAATCCGATCAATCAACTCTGTATAATCGAACGAAATTTCTTCGCTCTTTCTTCTCGGCTTATTATCATTGTTCCAATGAGAAAACTAAGAACGAAGAGGAGAAAACCGTTAAAGTGGGAAAATCCCCCCGGTGAATTTGCGTTCTGTTAGTTCTTCGAACGAGTGATTTGCGGAGAATTGACGCGATCCCACAGGCTTCGTCGCTTCGACAAAAATTCTTGAGTTCATCGATATCTATCTGTCGGTCGGTCGGTCTCGCACACCCTTATTGTGTTCACGTTCTTACAAGCTACGCCGGGACATGTTCGATGTGCCGACGGGTTTTCACGTTCCGTTGCAATTGTTTCCGGTTTCTCCTGATGAGAAAGACTAGAATATATATATATATATCGTTAACGCTGAAGACTACGGACCGTCGCGGATCAATGGGAGACTAAACGTGTATGTACATTTCTAATGAACACTTTGCCAGCTACTCGATTTCCCTTGTTCGCTTCGCCGACCCATCGGGCCGCGGCCGAATGTCGTAACACGCTGAACGTTAATTTCGTCAACGTGTTTTCGTTCGATGCTGTTTCTTCATTTGCCGAAGCGTCGAGAAACATTGAGATGCTAATGCTGCTAATCCAGCAGCCGTGGGTCGAACGAGCGAAACGATGTCACCGAAAGAGTGCATAAAATGTTAATTTCCCTCGGAAAGAGACGCCCCTAAAAACCATGGAACGAATTCTCTGATTCCGCTGTGTATCGATCTCTCTCGCTGGGTTAGTCGCTTTCGAATTGAAATCAAATACTCCTTTTTTGAATCATCGTTATCCGATATTGCGAGCGCTGGTTTAATATTATATATATATATGTATATATGTATATGTATATGTATGTATAATATATACAATGTTCCGTTCTCCGCGTGATTCTGCGATTCCGCGGCGCAAGGTCGTCTCTCCGCGCTGATTGAAAGGCGTCGCGATCGGTTCCTCTTTGTCGGATGAGTTGTGGCAGTAATTAAGGCATACAAGTTATTCCTGTTCCTCTCGAAAGCCCGCGCGCGGGGCCGCGCATCGACCCCCCCGACGCTGTTGCTAACGCGATCTCCATAGTTGTTTTTATACGTGGCACGCGATGAGAAACCGATCGACTCGTCGCATTTTTCTTATTCTTCCTCAACGTTCAATTCCCTCCGTAACGTCTCGCCGGGCGGGCTGGCGCTGGCGCCGTCCGCGACGCGACGTTACAGAGACAACAATGCGCGCTTCTCGTTTCGTAGAGGACGCTGGCCAAAAGGTTGATAGAGCGCGAGCGGAATTACTCTTGCGGAGGCTTGCGAATCATTTAACAACACAACCGAGGAAAACCGGCGTCTCCTTTTTCATCGCTCGTTCCGCTCCCTAAATGCTAAAAACGCCGCGTGCCGACGCTGCTACGCCCAGAAAACTTTAACGCCGCTGTACGAGTGCGCGCATTCGTGTGTGAGTGTATGTTAGTATCTCTATGCGTGTGTACGTTTGATATTAAAAACTCGTTAGACATCGACATGCACCTAACACTGAGAGGGATTGCTTATTGGTTCCTTAGGCTACGGTACATTTTTTGTTACAATCGTCGTCGTCGTCGTTAGAATCATTACAATCATTCCTTACATATAATATGTATATTATGTATATATATATATGTATATGTATATATGTATACGTCTATTATGTACAATCGTTCGTTAAGTATATAACTTTTGCCGAGAACACTCGCGACAGGTTTGTTTCGCCCTTCGAAAATCGCCGTGGAACTCGGCGTTCCGAATGAAATTATCTATGCGTACCGGAAAAATTATAAATATCGTACGAAAGAACCGATCGATCTCGATCTTTTTGGATGAATAAATAACTATACACACGCCAGTGGGAAGCCGCCCCACTGAATCTCGTCGAATCTCTCTCTCTCTCTCTCTCTCTCTCTCTCTCTCTCGCTCTCTCGCTTTCACGCACACATTCTCTTTTCTTCGCTCCTCCGTAGTATAAAGTGACCACGATTGGATCCTGCCCAATCCAATAAATTTACATCGAACGATCAGCTGCGTTTAATTGTTCTGAACCCGTTGACCGATCGTGAATCCAACACGCATGCAGAAGCATACTACAATATTTTTTTTTGTACGGCTGCCCACGTTGCCGCGCCTACGGGATCGCTGACGATAGAAGCGCGACGCTACAGAGGAAATGCTACGCTTTGATCCAGCAAAATACTGGTGTATGTCTGTGTGTACGTGTGTGTATGCGTGTTGTTCGGTATTCGCCCCGATTTCTCCGGTAAACAGGGACGTCGCTTCGATCGCTACCGTATTAGTCTCTCTCTCGCTGGGTAACTCGTCTTCTTTCTCCTCGCCGCTTCGGGACGATCCTGGATCATCTTTCGACCACGATCACCGAGAATTCTCTGGGCTCGTGTCGGAGACAGACGCGCGACGTATCTTTAAATAAACGGCGCCGAATCGACGGTGCTAGTTACAACAACTAAACCGGCCACCACCGGTTCGCCGCTGTTGTTCGTCGCGTTCGAGAGCAATTTATTTAAAAATCACCCGTTAGCCGGTCTCCGCGGTCCGCGCGCACGTCAGGTGTAACAATATGTATGTATATTAAACACGTAAGGTGTACTACCGGTAACTTGACCCCTTTAAAGAAATTGTGCTTCCAGCTGCGAGTTCTTCTAACGTTATGTATTTTATATTTACGCGTCGCTGTAACGAGAGCTCGGATACGGTCTAGAATTACGATGAAGACATATAAAGAAATTTCTACGGAGATACACTGCGCGATTTAATTGGATATATTTTTTGTATGTACAACACGTTCATATCTTCATCGAATGTCGAGCCTCAGCAACCGGCCGCGAGACTCGATAGAACATGCAGTCGAATTCAATCTCGCGGGTACAGGCAACAGGATATTTTATAACGTGTGGAGGCGCGACACGCGTTTTGCCGCGGTCGAATGAATTTCACTCGGAACTCGAGGATAAAAGTTGGACGAAAAGGGTTCTCAATATGTACGCGCCGCAGTGTCGCGCGTCCACAGGGTATAAAACATAATTTCGCGTGAAATCTGTAAAACGCTGGATCGTTAAGTTCCTCTCTCTTCGTTCCTCGCTCTCTCTCTTCCGTCGGTCCATCCGTTCTTCCTTCCTTCCTTCTGACTAGTACAGTCTCGAAGCGGCTCGGCGCGTTATTTACATACAGCGGGGTGCGCCGCGTATGGAAAAATCTGCGAGGGGACCCCGTCGAACGTACTAGAAGGAAATCGAGCGTACACCGAGAGAGATCCGTCCGTCTAGCCACCACCGGAATGATACATTATACTTCCGTGGTGCGGCTGTAGGGCCCGGATTCTTCCGATTGCGATAGCTTTCGCTCCCGTTTGGCAAACAGACCCCCTAAAAAAGATGGCTGCTGAGCCAGTCCCTTAGCACCGCCAGGTATAGTAGATCCTGGATGTATAGGGTGGACTTGTCCAGGATGCTTAATGCCCTGGCTCATCGAGCTGGCAGACGTAGATTGAAAAGAAATCGACATACCGCTATCCAGCGAGCCCACGCTTCCACGGCGTTGCGGTTTTTCACCAGCGACTGTCGACAAGATTGAAAAACAAACGTTGGTCAGTTAAGGACTAATCCGAGACGCAGGGGAACAGTTTTACTAACCGCTTCGAGCGTCGATCGAAAAGCGAGGAGCCGCCTGCCTCCGGGAGAAAGTAATCGACCCGAACGTTACTACTGTACCGTACATTTTCGACTACATTATACTCTTCAAAAAAAGTTCAGGCAAGAGTGAACGTTGGATCTACGCGCGAGCCGTTCTCTCGAAGGTGGAACTCTCGACAAGTTCGAGAAGATTCTTTCTGCCGAACGCGGGGCTCTCGCCGAGGTAGCAAATAGAAAACCGACAGGTCGCGGGCGCAATAAAGAAGTGGATGATATAAGTTTACACACATTGTTCGTGTATGTCAAGAAGGGAATTGCTAAGCGCGGAGCGTTTCAACTGGGAGTCCATATCGATTGCCTCGGATCTGTCCGAGCAAGGCCCCGGGCAAGGACAGATCTCGACGTCCGCCACGCCGGAGTCTCTGTTCTCGGCGCCGCCCCTGGTGCTTCTGCTGCTCTTCTGTCGCTCCAGTTCCGTCTCAATCCGTAAAGTCTCCATTTCGTCCATCTCGCTGATGGATTCCCTGAGGTCCTCGACGAACTTGCATCTGTCGTGCTCGTTCCTCGCGTTGAACGTGACCAGTACTTTGCCATCGACGCGCTGGGAGAGCCTAATTCCGTACGGATAATCTGGCGAGAAGCAACCGGCGCGTTAATACCCGTCTATACAAGGCTGTCCGAAAATTATGGTGCTTCCGGGAAGCGAGGGATTATTCCTGAGGTCGATCGAAGCAACTTTTTCCTTGGCGAAAATGTTCCACGAGGCTTCGTTTACGAGTTATCAACGAAAAACGCTGGCCAATCGGAGAGCGAGCGCGGCCAGCGCTCCGCCCTCCCGGCCAATGCCGCGTCGCGCCGGCCGCAGCGATGGCGGGGCGCCAGCCGAGTGCTCGCGCCTCATTGGTCAGCGTTTTTCGTCGATAACTCGTGAACGAAGCCTCGTAGAACATTTTCGCTAAGGAGAAAGTTGCTTCGATCGACCTCGGGAACCCATTGGTATGGTATGGTATTTCCCGGAAATACCATAATTTTGGGACAGCCTGCAGAGGATCGACGATGAAACAGGAACTTGTATCGACTCACGAGGAACTTCGAACAACGTGACCACCATTCCGCAAAGAGGGAAGCTCTGTCTGAACGTGTAGGTGACGCTGTTCTTCTTCTTGCTGAGGATTTTCGTGACGACCAGTAGGTCGTTGAAGAGGAACACCTCTCTTTGGTGCACGCCGGGCCTCTCTTTCTTGTGGATGTCCGGTATCTCGTAGAGTCTGCAGTAGCAGACCAGTCGTCTGTGGGGCAGAGCCATGTTCGGCTTCTTGCCGACGATCGTCGCCTGGACCTTCATCACCTGCGACACGTGGTCCGAGCCGGGCTTGAACTCGTTCTCCTTGACCCGCTCGTATATGCCCACCAGGATGTCCTTGTCGATGTCGCCGCAGTCGTCGATGCCCCTCAGGTTCTTCACGAAGTCCTCCAATCTCATTCTACGCTCCGGCTTCAAGTTCGGCGTGTGCAGATCGGTGTTCAGCATGATGATGGCGAACGCCAGGACGAACACGGTGTCGGGCGACCGTAATCTGGTCACCACGTCGTGGTTGCATTGACAGTACCGTTGGCTGAACACCTCCATCAGCCGTTCTATCTTCTGGGCCTCGCCGGGCATTCTGAAGTACGCCTGGAACTTCCTCAGGGCGACGTCCACCTGCATGCCGGAGAGGTCGAGCTCGTGGGAGAAGCACCTGCGAGCGAGAGCGACGGTTTAGTATCGGATTATGGGCACGCCGATTCGGCGGGAAAACGAGCACAGCTTCTTGTGCTATTACTTACTCTAGCACAGCCATGTTGAAGGTGTTCTGCAGGTTGCCAAGGTACTCCCCGATCATCTGCTTGGACAAGCCTTTCCTGCTGATCAGGAATCTGGCGACCCCTTGCGGACTGTTCTCCAGGAAGCCTCTTCTGATCAGGTAGCTGATGCCCCTCTCCGGCTTCTTGTTGAACAGATTTAGGCCGACTCTGTACTGACGCTTCCTGACCGTCTCGGACACCTTATAGCTGGTCTGCGGCATGTTCTCCGAGTGGTCCATCATGGGAAGCTGGTAGCCGGAGCTCGCGTGCGAATGACCGAGGTCCTTCACGCTGTTCATCATGGCGGAGGAGTCGGTCGCGTGGCTGGCGCAGTCTTGGTGCTCCGGGGAACTCGACTGAAACGCGCGAGAAAGACATTTTTGGTCGTCTCTTGCTATTCATTCCTTTCCTTTTTTCTGATTGTAGTAATGTTTCCCTAACTGACGCACAGATTGTGCAGAAAAATGGACAATTTGGGAGGAAGAGATACGATTATTATATTATTTGTTGAGAATCGGTAATTATAAAAACAAGGCGCAACACTCAAATTAATCCAAATTAATCTCCTCTTCCCAAATTGTCCATTTTTCTCCACAATTTCAGCGTCAGTTAGGGAGACATTACTGTATTACTTTCCCTATTCCTACTACAGTAATGTCTCTCTAATTGACGCCCAGATCGACCACAAGAGTGGACAATTTGGGAAGAGGAGATACGACTATTCGAGCCTTGCGGTTCATTTTTATAGCCACGAATTGTCAACAACTATAAAAACGAGCTGCAACGGCTCGAATAATCGTATCTCCTCTTCCCCGAATTGTCCATTTTTCTGCGCAATCCGAGCGTCAGTAAGGGAGACATTACTGTATTATCTTGGCAAGAAAGTAATTTCGGTTTGCAGCAATAGATAGCGTTACGTTCGTCGTTCCTTTGTTAAAGTTATAATTTTCTTGGCTTCTGCTTTGGCAATTGACACGTTTAACCCTTTGCGCTCGGAGCCATTTCAACTATAAATCTAAATTCATTCCTCCGACTTATATATATGGTATTTCTATTTTATACGACAGAGTGCATTTTATGCGTATAAAATTCAGTCTTGCGACTCGTACAACAATTAGACTTTCAACAATTTTTTGTATCTAAGCTTTTATAATATAAAAATTATCTTGGAACGTGATGTAACAATTTTTTAGCGGTGTCGCGGATCATTTTCTATCATTTTCTACGACGCGGCAAGATCTACGGTAACGTCTCTCTAATCGACGCCCAGATCGTACACGAAAATGGACAATTTGGGAAGAGGAGATACGATTATTCGATCCTCGCGGTTTATTGTTATAGTTACAAATTGTCCACAATTATAAGAACGAGACGCAAGGCTCGAATAATCGTATCTCCTCTCCCCAAATCGGTCATTTTAGTGGACAATCCGAGCGTCAGTAAGGGGGACATTTCTGTATTTCTCAGTCCTTATAAAACTTACTATTCCTTTGTGCTTCCAGACCGGCGAGCCTCTCTGGGCATCGCCCTCGGAGCTCTCGCAGTTGGTGGAATCGCTGCCGGAGCTCTGCACCGAGCTCAGGCTGCCGTTCTCGACGCTTTTACTGAGCCCGTTGTGGCGGGGCTCCATCGACCTCGAGGTGATGGAAGACGTTCTCTTCGGCACTTCCGGCGGCACCTTTTTCGCCGAGCCTCTGGACCTGCCGGTGGAGCCCAGGTGCGACGAGGAGCTCCAGTTCTGCGACCCCGGGATCTGCAGGGTCTGCAAGGTCTGAAGGGTCTGGAGGTTGTGGGGAGTGGACGGGGACGTGCACGGGGTCCGCAGCAGATCCCGCGGGGGCGTCTCCTGCCTGAGACCGCAGAGCGCTTCCTGTAATTTCGGCAGCGTCCAGGTCAGAATTTATATCGAATAACGTTGGCATAACCGTTAACATTCTGCTCTACAACGTCTGAGAGACGTGGTCCGGTAGTTGGACCAGAAATGATTATCGCGTCTGAGAGACGTGGTCGAAAAATTGGGCCAGAAATTATTATCACGTTTTATAGACGTGGTCGAAAAATTTGGCTAGAATTATTATATATATATATTATTATATATTTTATATATTATATATTTTATATATTATTATTATATATTATTATATATTATTATTAGGCCTGAGAGACGTAGTCGAAAAATCGGGTCAGAAAGGATGATCACGTCTGAGAGACGTGGTCAGATAATTGGACCAGAAATGATTATCACGTCTGATAGACGTGGTCGAAAAATTGGGCCAGAATTATTATATATATATTATTATTATTATTATTATTATTATTATTATTATTATTATTATATATTATATATTATTATTACGCCTGAGAGACGTGGTCGAAAAATCGGGCCAGAAACGATTACCACGTCTGAGAGACGTGTTCGAAAAAATTAGACCAGAAACGAGCGCCGTGGTATTTTGTATAACAGATTTTTCAGTCATTTGTTTGTCATTCAATCGTTTTATCAGCAGCGAAAGGAGTCTTCCGACGCGTATCGCGACTTTTGTAATTTCGAATAGTTTACAAGTTCCGCGCTTAGGTCGCTCGATTTCCGTTCAACGCGCGCCCCGAGTTCGATCGCGGCCGTGTTTCAGCTGCCGGATAATTTCGACAGCAAAAGCTGGCGCGGCGCGCGCGGCGGCGTTTCGTCGAAAAGCGGAAAGCCCAACGGCGGCGGGCTTAATCACCTGGGGATTATAGTAGTGGATGCTGGAGCCGCTTTCCTGCGAGCTGGACTCCCAGCACGGGCTCGGAGGCAACTGTTGATGTCTGTTGCACGGGCTTGGCGCGAGAGAAGGCGTGTGCCTGCCGGTCTGATGAATATTATGGTTCACGTGCTGATGACCGGCAATCTGTACCTCGCACCTGCCGCTCTGGCTCCTCGGGATTGGCGACTGGGAGTTCTCCACGTGCCTCCTCTCCCTGAGGGACATGCTCCTGATCGGCATCGGCCTGTTCGCCGTCTGCGGCTGCTGGATGTAGATCTGGCTGTGGTAGACCATCCTCTCGTGCTCGTGCTCGTTCACCGTCGAGCCCCGGTCCGTCGTCTCCTGCAGCTTCCGGCTGAGCCTCTTCTCCGCCTTGGCCATCGCCGTGATCGCCGCGAACTTCTTCAGCAACGTGTACCTGCGGAACGCCCGCTGGATCGTCAGCGCCGCGTTCCGCGCCTTCACGCCCCCGTACTTCCTCTCCAGCATCTCGATCTGCTTGTCCAACAGGTCCTGCGACAGCTCGTACCTAATCCAAAAAGGAACAGATTTCTCGAATTTAACCTTCTAGGCGCGGCTGAATTCTGCGCGAGGCTATTTCTCTGGACGGCAGAGTCTGATACTGTATATACAGAATGTGCGAAAAATGTCTCGCAATCCGAAAGTGGCGGGTTCCTCAGGCGATTCGAAGCAACTTTTTCCTTTAGAAAAATTCTCTCCGAGGCACCGTTAACGAGTTATTAACGAAAAACCGTGGCCAATGAGTGATCGCGCGCGGCTAACGCCCCGCCCTCGCGTCCACTAGAGGGCCGGCGCGACGCGATACTGGCCGCCAGGGCGGAGCGCCGGGCACGCTCGCTCTCCGATTGGTCCACGTTTTTCGTTAATAACTCGTTAACGGTGCCTCGGAGAACATTTTCGCAAAGGAAAAAGTTGCTTCGAATGATCCGAGGAACCCGCCATTCCCGGATTGCGAGACATTTTAGGGACAGCCTGTGGACTGTTGTAAATCGATGTGAGGACAAAAGAAGCGTGAAACAATGCATATGAAGACGATTATTTGGTTCAAACGATGAGCGAGTGAGCTACTAGAGCAAGCCACTATAGTGGCGCGTCGTTCTAAAAGATGATATCCGCGAGAGTCACTATAGTGGCGCGTCGTGCCCAAAAGGTTAACGACCGCATCTCGCATCGCATCGTTTCATCGTTCAATGAAAGAAAAGAGCGCCTGTTCCGGAGAGACTTACGCGGTCTGCAGGCGGCACCTCTTCAGCACGTCGCCGTTCCTCGCGGCTCCCTTCTTCAGGTGATTCTGTTGGTAGGCCTGCTGAGGCTGGCCACCGTATCCCTGCACCATGGTCCCGTAGCTCTGCGGCTGATTGTAGCCGGCGTGCGAGTAGACGCGCACGTTCGAGGCGGACGAGTACGGGCCGTGGCCGTAATTCTGGCTCTGTATGTACGACTGGCCGGTGATGTAGGACGTCGTCAGAGACGTTTGACTGCCGGACGAGTACACGCCGTGCATGCCGGCGGTGTGCACCTGGCTCGGGTTCGAGCCGTGCTGCGACGGCCTCTCCATCTTCGTCGGGAAGCTGTGAACAGACGAAGCGGAACCGTTATTACAGTCTGTCCCGAAAATGTCTCGCAATCCGAAAGCGGCGGGATCCTCGGGTCATTCGAAGCAACTTTTTCCTTTACAAGAATTTTCTCCGACGCACCGTTAACGAGTTATTAAACGGAAAACGTGGACCAATCGGAGAGCGAGCGCGCCCGGCGCTCCGCCCAGTATCGCGTCGCGCCGGCCCCCCAGTGGACGCGAGGGCGGGGCGTCAGCCGCGCGCGATCACTCATTCGCCACGGTTTTTCGTTGATAACTCGTTAACGGAGCGTCGGAGAACATTTTCGTAAAGGAAAAAGTTGCTTCAAATGATCCCAGGAACCCGCCGCTTCCGGATCGCGAGACATTTTTGCGACACCCTGCAGTACTCGAAAGGGAAATCGGTCGCCTTCGAAACAACGAAAAAACAGTCGGTTAGGCAAGCTCGCCGAGGTTATCCTATCGCCGCGCACCGGAGCCGGCGCCGCGGAGAGGAGCGCATCGTTTCTCTCGAGCGCCTCTCTCGCCTCCGGAATCGAGTTCGTTCCGGCGGCGGAACGATAAGGCGCGCTCGAGCGCGTGTCCCCGTTCTCGAGGAGCAATTAAAAAAAACACCGGGGAAGTCGTGTGCCGCACCGTGCAATCCCGCGATGCGATCTCGCGAACTGCGATCTCGTTTTTTCCTTTTTTTTTCGTTCGTTCGTTGTTACGGGACGGCTCGCGCGCGCGCGCTGACGCACCGGCGCGGCGCGGCCCCGTTGCTCGCGCGAGTAGACGCGCGTGGTAGGAGTAGCAGGAGTGACAGGAGCAACGAGAGAGAGTAACAGGAGCAGCGAGAGCGACGCGAGCCGGCCAGCCGGGACGCTTTATTCAATATCCGCTCCGCGCGTGATTGCCAAACGTGATTTCCGGAGATTTCACTTATCGCGGCAGATAGGCCTACGATTTCCACCGAAATGCATTTCCTGACCCGCAAATTCGCTCGGTCGTTCGTTCCGCCGCTACGAGAATCTTTCCTCCGACGTGCTTTCGCAGCTCCGACGATATTTATTCAGCGAGCGATCCTCGGCTCGCGTTCGACGCTACGAGGCGTTCTGGCTCCTCGCCGTTCGCGGAAACAACGTTCAGGCGACGGAACACCGTTCCGACGGCTCCAGATCGATTCGACGATCCCGTTTTAGACCGGCGTTTCAATCGAGCATCGTCCACCAGCGGCGTCGAACGTTGTTCGAGGTTAACCCCTTGCGCTACTTTCACGAGTCTGACACCCGTGATGAAAATTCTGTGCCAAAATTGAATATCACGACTTTGACTCGTTGCTACAATTCCATGCTAAACATGAATATCACGAGTTTGACTAGGGCATTTAATTATTTTATATATTATAATTATATATATAGGGTATATATATAATAATAATAATTAATATATATTATAATAATATTATATTATATTAATATTATTATTATATTATATTATATTAATATTATTATTATATTATATTATATTAATATTATTATTATAATAATAATATATAATTATATATATATATANTATATTAATATTATTATTATATTATATTATATTAATATTATTATTATAATAATAATATATAATTATATATATATATATACAGGATGTCTAAAAAATGTCTCGCAATCCGGAAACGGCGGGTTCCTCGGATCATTTGGAGCAGCTTCTTCCTTTACAAAAATGTTCTCCGAGGCACCGTTAACGAGTTATCAACGAAAAACCGTGGCCAACGAGCAATCGCGCGCGGCTGACGCTCCGCCCTCGCGTCCACTGGAGGGCCGGCGCGAGGCGATACTGGCCGCCAGGGCGGAGCGCCGGGCGCGCTCGCTCTCCGATTGGTCCACGTTTTCCGTTTAATAACTCGTTAACGGTGCGTCGGAGAAAATTCTTGTAAAGGAAAAAGTTGCTTCGAATGACCCGAGGAACCCGCCACTCTCGGATTGCGAGACATATTTGGAACAACCTGCATTACAATTATTTTATAACATCGATTAACATTATATCACCGAGGTGTCGTGTTTCAAATTGCGCCACTCGAGCTCCGCCGCTCGGCTCCTCCAGCGACCATTCCGGCGAACAAGTTTTGCACAGCTTTTTCAGAGTCTCGGCGTAGTGCAAGGGGTTAAACGTTGTTTCGTACGGCCGGTTCGACGAGACGAGACGCGACGGCCGAATCGATTTGCTTCGCGTTGCGTCCGAAGCGGCACGATATATCCGGCGGTTGGAAACACGAGGAACACAAACGTTCGGCTGGAACCGAACGGGAAACGACGCCCGTTTCGCGCCGCACTGTTCGAAAGACAGGAACTCTAACAGAGCGCAGCTGTCGCGGCGGCAGTGCGCGATCGAACGGTCGCGATCGTGAATCACGCGATGATGAATCATCACGGCAGGCACGGAACTCGCCCCCTGCGTAACCACTGCACCCCCGGGAACGAACGAACATACGAACGAACGGAGCTCTTCTACGTACCCCGTGAGAAAGCCGGGCACCACGGAAAGTCGGACCACCATTGTGTCGATGCTTTCGCGCAAAAGCGACCAGGACACGACTTCGACGTCGGGGTGGTGGTTTTACGGTCACCTTGCAACCACCGTGAACACTCTGCTCATGTCACGACAATCGGAGTTTCTCTCTCTCTCTCTCTCCCTCTCTTCGGAATACGAACGCGGGAGGATTTTCTCGAGAGGATCTCTCGAGCGCGTCGATGCTCGCTGCGCGAAGGATCGCGTGGTTCTGTCGATCGTTCCGGCGCGCGACGATGCGGCCCCGATCGAGAGGAAGGATCGAGCAACGCGAGCAGCTGGCAGCCAGGGGCATTCTTCGTCCTCGACGCGAGGATCGGAAATCAGTGAACAAGACCGTGCTGGGAAGAGGGGTGAAACAGCGAGAGAGAGAGAGAGAGGGGGGGGGGAGAGCACGTGCACACCGGCCTCGACAGTGGTGAGCAACCTTCTGCACCGGAATCGATTTTAACCTCCTCCTCCTCGCCCCTCTCCTCCCCTCCCCTGCCCAGGCTCTCTTCGCCGCCTCTTCGCCGGTTAATCGTGTGAACATTACCTGATTTTAAAGGCAAAGTGCCCTCCTCTCCGGCCAGCCGACGCCGTTACACGCTTTAAAAATGAACTCTCGCGCGGTTTTTAAAAAAGTCCCGGATCGTCGCCGCTTCGCCGCGAAAGCCTCGAACGAGGAGAGGAGCCTTCGAGACGGCCGAGTCTCGGGCTCGTTTCCATACACCTGTGGACTCGCCCCGTGTGTAACGCGAGTTCTTAGAACACGCGTTCCTATAAAACGCGCCGGGGATGTCGCGAGCGCCGGTTTTCATGCGACGCCGTTTATTAGCGCAACGCGTCGAGCAATAAAACGCACCGATTAGGGTCGGTGCACGTATTTTACGTCTTCGTTTACCTTCGTTCCTAGACTTTCGTAACGGAACATAATAAATAAATGTTACAATTTAATAAATAGATAAATAGATAGATAGGTAAATAGGTAGATAAATAAATAGATAGATAAATAGATAGAGAAATAAATGAATAAATAAATAGATAGATAAATAAATAAATGAATAAATAAATAGATAGATAAGAAGATAGATAAATAAATAAATGAATAAGTAAATAGATAGATAGATAAATAGATAGATAAATAGATAAATAAATAAATTAATAAATAAATAAGTAAATAGATAGATAGATAGAGAGATAAATAAGTAAATGAATAAAGAAATAGATAGATAAATAAATAAATGAATGAGTAAATAGATAGATAAATAAATAAATGAATAAGTGAATAGATAGATAAATAAATAAATGACGAAATAAATAGATAGACAGATAAATAAACGAATAAATAAATAGACAGCTAAATAAATAAACATCTATTATATATTAATAATAAGTATTTGTCCGATTTCGGAGAAACGAATGACATTCGCGTCTCGTAGATCGTGCGTGAGACCTTCGCGACGCGAGTCCGACTCGTTGTGCACAGAGAGTTAACCGCGTTATACGGGAGGCCCATTGTGCTCGCAACTCCTCGCTCATCGCTCGCATTGTATCCGCGGCTCCGCTTTATTTCTCGCGAACAATCGCGTTCGAATACGCGAATAACGCTCGCCCCCGATCCGCCGAATTCGTCGAGCGCGCGTATCTCTCCCGCGTTTGCTTCGATCTTCGGTAAGAAGCAGCCCGTCGGCGTCGACGAAATCAACGGAATAAAAAATGCTCCGAAAGTTTCGAACCGCTCCGTAAACGTCGGCTCGAGCGGGGATCGTCATCGCGCGCGCCGAGTTTCTCTCCGTCGAATGACTCGGCTGCTGCCGCTGCTATTCGTTCCACGATTAACTTGTTTTCCCTTTAATACACGGCGCAGGAGTTTACGAGAAACGCGAGAACAGTGAGATCGCAGTCTCATGTTTTATGCACCTGCACAGCGCTCGAGGCCCCAACCCCTTCTTTCTCGTTGCTCCCCTCGCCCTCGCCCTCTCCCCCGTTCGCCGAGTATTCTTCTTCGCTCCCGGCCGCAGGTTCTTTCACGACTTTTTTTTTGCCCGCGACGATGCGTGGAAACCGCGTTTAACGACTCGCCTGCCGACCGATCTCGCTTCTTCTCTGTGTGTGTGTGTGTGTGTCGCAAGTTTCGTTCAGACGTTTCGAAAGAGAAGCTGAATCGGGGAAAATCGCTGTACTTTGGACGACGACGTTCGAATCTTAAGACCACGCTGAATATCTCTCCGAATTGACGCTCTGATCGCGCACGAAAATTGACAATTCGGGGAGAGGAGATACGATTATTATTATATTATTATATTATTATTCTATTATATTACTATATTATTATTCTATTATATTATTATATTATTGTATTATTGTATTATTATATTATTATTATATTATATTATCATATTATTATATTATTATATTACTGTATTATTGTATTATTATATTATTATTATATTA